ATATTATCATAACAAACCATTCATTATTTAGAACTGGAAAATTGACTTCACTTTTAACCCAGAGTGCATTACGAAAATTCCCTTATGGGTGACTTTTTCTGGATTACCCGTAGGATATTGGTCAACTGAAGCTCTAAGCAAGGTGGCTAATGTTGTGGGTAAACCGGTGTACACTAATAATTACATAGCAAACATGGAGAAAATATCATACGCAAGGGTTTTGTTTGAGGTAGACATCTCCCAACCTTTGTTAGACTGTCTAGACATTAACACACCAATAAGAGTATTCTATCAACCTATGGGATACGGCTGGAGGCCAAGATTTTGCACTGAATGTATGAGATTTGGTCATGTAGAAGACAATTGTTGGAAGCATGAACATAATGAGGAGGAGAAGTTCAAAGAGCCTAAGAGGAGGAGGAAAAGAAGAAACAAAAGGAATTTGCAGAAAATGGAATGGTAAGTAAAAGCAGCTGCTAAAACAACAAATGAGGCTTAGATTGACACTGCCAAACAACCTTCTACAGGAAAGGAAAGGGAGATTACTGCTACAAATCAGATGATATCTAAAGTTTATCAAGATAAGAGACAACCTGAGACAAGTAATCAACCGGATAGAAATGAAAGAAGTAATAACGAGGTTAGAGTAGCCACCACAAACAGGTACTCAACCTTGGAGACTGCAGCTTCCACATCTGAGGAGAATGGGCGTAAGCCCCATGATAATAGCAACATGGAACATTAGAGGCCTTAACAAGCCCTTCAAACAAAAAGAGTTGAAGTTCTTTTTGAATAAGAATAAAGTAGATCTCATTGGATGCATTGAGACTAGAGTTAAAGAACAAAAATCCAAAAAAATAATGAAGAAAATAGTACTTGATTGGGAATCATGTTGTAACTGAATGGGGGATATGGTTACTGTGGAAGAAGCATCTCAAAGTTTAGATTATTAGCACAGCTGAACAGCTAATCCATTGCATAGTAGAGGAGACTACTACTAGTTTCTTCACTCATCTGACTATAGTATATGGGAATAATGACCTTCATCAAAGATGTGCTTTGTGGAATGGACTGAGATTTATCGGGAGCCAGATATAGACTCCTTGGCTCATATATGGAGATTTCAACAATGTGCTATCTACTGAAGACAGGACTGGAGCACATGTAACTCAACAAGAGATACATGAATTCCAACACTATATTGATACCTTGCAGCTGAGTCTACTGAAGGCAATTGGCTGGCATTTCACACGGTGCAACAAGCAACAAGGCACTAGCAGGGTGCACAGTAAAATTGATTGGGCATTTGGGAACTATTACTGGTTGCAGAAATATGGACACATTGAAGCTGACTACATGAATCCTTCAGTATCAGACCATTCACCAATTCTTATTCACTGTGGTGCAAGGATTCAGCTGCACCCTAAACCTTTTAAGCTCTTCTCAAATGTGCTACACCATCCTGAATTTGGGGAAAATGTTAAGGATACATGGCACTTGACAGTGAGGGACGACCCTATACATCAAGTGTGGAGGAAGCTGCAACTTCTAAAGGACAACTTGAAGGAACTAACAACCTATATGGCATTATATAAGCAAAAGCTTGAGTAGCAGAGACAGGAACTAGAAGTAACACAAGCAAATCAAGCACCAACCACAAGATCAACTCCTTATTGAAAAAGAAAGACAAATTTGGCTTGATTTGGAGAAGTGGAGCAGTATAGAAAAACAGGTCCTAAGGTAGAAATCAAGGGCAACCTGGATTACTAGTGGAGATACAAACTCCAAATACTTTCATGCACAATAGAGGATGAGAACTGCTAGGAACACTATTACTTTAGTTTATACTGAGTGTGGTATCAAACTAACAGAACCCAAATTGGTAGAAAAGGAATTCATATCCTTCTTCACTGGGCTTATGGGGGAAAAGCCTCAGAACTACCTTGTCCAAATACAGAGGTAAAAAAAAGGCAATTGTCTGAACTATCAACAACAATGTCAACTAGTGCAAGAGGTAACAAATGATGAAATTTTGGAAGCCATAAAAGAAATACCCCTGGACAAAGCACCTGGAGTAGATGACTATCCTATTGAATTCTTTCTCAAGCAGTGGGAGGTGGTCAGAGAGGATGTTTATGCAGTTGTATACTACTTCTTCCAAACTGGCAGAATGTTGCATGCTATCAATTTTACTGCAATTACACTGGTGCCTAAGGTTCCTTCACCAAATCAGGTAAAAGACTATAGGCCAATTGCCTGTTGTACCACCTTGTACAAGATTATAGCCAAAATTCTAACTACAAGATTCAGCAAGGTTGTTGGTGATATTGTCATCCAATCCTAATCAATTTTCATCAGAGGCAGATCCATCCTGGACAACATACTGTTCAGCCATAAAATTTTCAAGGGCTATGGAAGAAAAGGTTTATCCCCTAGATGTGTACTAAAAGTGGACCTTAGAAAAGCATATAACACATTGGAATGGAGCTTTATCAAAAGAGTCATGGTCGATCTTGACTTTCCCCACAAATTTGTGCAATGGGTCATGGAATGTATAATTATTGTTTCCTATTCTTTGGTCATCAATGGAGGGTTCACCAAGCCTTTTCCTGGGTAAAGAGGAATCAGACAAGGGGACCCTATGTCCCCCTATCTCTTTGTCATAGCTATGAAGTATTTGCAAAGAGAGATGAATCAACTGATCATAAATGGTGATTTTAATTTCCATCCAAAGTGTAGGAAATTGGGAGTAACTCATATTTGTTTTGCTGATGACTTGCTTATGTTCTGTAGAACAGATAAGGAGTCTGTTAGACTATTGAATAGTGCTTTTCAAGCATTCTCACAAGCTTCAGGTCTACATGTTAATGCTACCAAAAGCTCCATTTACATAGCTTGTGTGATAGAGGACATTAAACAAGACATAGTGCAACTCTTGAGTTACTCATTAGGTGATCTACCTTTCAAATATTTGGGGATTCCATTGTCATCTAAAAAACTCTTAGTGGTCCAATGTCCGCCTCTTATTGAAAAGATTACTGCTAAGATGAAGTGTTGGTCTACCAAACTCCTCTCTTATGCAGGTAGACTTCAGTTGATAAAGTCTGTAATATTTGGAATACAAACTTATTGGGGATAGATTTTTATGATACCAAAGAAGGTAATGAAAGCTATTGAAAGTCTGTGTAGAACCTTCTTATGGATTGAAATGATTAATCTATCAAAGAAAGCACTAGTGTCTTGGGACAAAGTGTGTTTACCTCAAGCAGCTGGAGGATTGAATGTACTGAATCTATGTATATGGAACAAGGATGCAATAATAAAGTAGTTATGGTCAATTGCACAGAAAAAGGACTGTCTTTGGATAAAGTGGGTACACAGCTACTACATCAAGAAACAATCTCTTAACTCATGACCATACCTAAGACAACAACTTGGGTAGTTAGAAAGATTATGGAAACTCAAGATATGGTTATACAACAGGTTATGGTACAAGGTGACTAACTTGCAAAGTTAGGAACAATGCAGAACATGGATGGTTCCTTCTCTATTAAAAAGATGTACCTACACCTGATACCTCGGCACCCAAAAGTCCTCTGGAAAAGCCTTACACTGCAATGAAACATCCATCCACGAGAGAAATCTATCTTATGGTTAACAGTGCAAAATAGGTTGGCAACAGTGGATCGACTGCAGATGATAAGCATACAAGCTCCTATCGCTTGTGTATTTTGTCATGGTGACATTGAAACTCATGCACATATATTCTTTAAATGCCCTGTTATAGGTGCATTGTGGCTGAGATTACTGAACTGGCTTGGGCACATCAGGAACATAGGCGATGCCAAACATGAATTGCAATGGGTATGCAGTATGGCCAAGTGGAAGAGTGGACTGGGAGCTATCACCGGTTGTGTATATGCAATGACAGTCTATGTCATATGGAGGGAGAGGAATCTACTAAGGTTCCAGAAGAGCACCTATGATGAAGATAGAGTTAGTAGAGAAATAGCAGTACATATTCACATTAGAGGACAAAACCTTAGGAAATGACGCAAACCTTTGAGTCTGTTGAGTTCATACCCTTAGTGAGATAGCTCAATATTTCCTTGATTTCCTATTGTTAGTATAGCTAAGCTAGGGATTGTCAAATGTAATTAGGAGTGCAAGAGGCCGGCTCTTTGCTTGGAGTCTGTAAATGATACATTTTTTGGTTAATAAAAAAGCTATTTACCAAAAACAAATAAATAAATAAGGGACATAAACATCAATATCCCACATAAGGTTCAGGAAAACCCCCAAATATTTTCCTAAATCTGTTCTAAATGATCTCAATTTTGAAACAAAGTTTTCAAATACAAACACAAATAATCCTCGACCACCAATTTAGTTAAATAATACCAAATCAAAAAGATCAACTTTGTCTTCTTATTTTCCAAAGTCCAACAATAAAGTTTTGAGATTTTTACAGATTTGTGTTTGAACTAAAAGTTTAATCACAAACTACCAAAATTCAGACGATTTTAATAATAATGGATCATTAACTTCTATTTTTCACTCCTAAATAAGATTTTCGAGCTTTAAAAATTGAAAAATCATAGTATTCAAGTCAAAAGTGGTGGGTACACGCCGTGCAAATTTCTATACCATTTTCCTTCCTCCTTTTTTTATTTTATTTTTAAGAGTGAGTGACTTGTGAAAAACTTTCTTTTCCAATTTTGCTACAATTACATACATTCCTTGACCAACCGCCAAGTTTTCTATTACTGAAATGAAAAGACGACTAAGCATTGGCCACTTGCTTCTCCTATATTACAGCTTATTTGGCAATTTCTTTTTGCTAAAAGTATTTTTTTTTTTTCTAAAAGTACTTTTGTAAAAACAGAAAAAAGTAGCTTCCTCGAAAAATACTTTTTTAGAAGTATTTTGAATACACTTAAAAGTAGTTTTTTAAAACTTTGTCAAACACTAATTGGTGCTAAGAAATGGTTTTCAAATTAATTAGCCAAAATTATTCATTTCTAGCAAACCCAACTAACCAAAAGTCTTTGCTCTGCTCTAGCAAGAGCACAAAAAAATTCTCTATATTTCAAGAAAACAGATTTTCTTAAACCAAGTTCACATTTTGCGCTTACCCTTTACTCTCTTTTTCTCTATTTCATTGATTCTTGAAATACCCATTTGCATTCCTGGACTTAAAAATTTGTGCGTTTGAGCAGTTGGGGTTTCAAAAAAAATGGCTGTGGGCACAGTAGAAGAACCTGTGGAGATCTTTAAGGCTCGTTCAGATAAGAGGGAGTATAGAAGAATAGTCCTTCAAAACTGTCTTGAAGTCCTCCTCATCAGTGATCCTGAAACAGACAAGGTTTTTGTTGAACTATTTTTATTGAAAATATATGAAAATTTTTGAACTATTTTTATGTTGCTGACGTGTGACCAGCAGTACACGGGTTCAAGCCGTGTAAACAAGCAGAAATGCAGGGTAAGGGTGCGGACAATAGACCCTTGTGGTCCGGTACTTCCCTGGACACCACGCATAGCGTAAGCTTGGTGCACCGGGCTGCCCCTTTTATATGAATTTGTTGAGTTGGATTCTTGTATAAATTTACTTTTTATGTTGTTGGATCAGTGTGCTGCTTCTATGGACGTGCCTGTGGGATATTATAGTGATCCTAAGGGTCTTGAAGGCCTTGCTCATTTTCTTGGTAAGTTAAGTTAGTGCAATAGCTTCTTTCAAATCTTAGTCAAATAAGCTAGTGTATTAGCTCTAGTTCTTTTTTTTTCTTCTTTTCTTTCTTATAACGGTTGAAGGGGAGCCTTGACGTAACGAGTAAAGTTGCTGCCGTGTGACTAGCAGGTCACGGGTTAGAGCCGTCGAAACGGCCTCTTGCAAAAGTGCAAGATAAGGATGCATACAATAAACCCTTGTGGTCCGTGCCTTCCCCGAACCCTGCATCGCGCTGCCCTTTCTGATAATGTTGGCGTCCGGGCCAACTTGTGCACATCCAATGGTGGAGCTAGCGTGGTAGCTTTTGCTTAAATCCTGTATTTGTATTAGGAAATCCATTAAATATGTACAAATTCTAAATTGCGAATCTAGTATAAAACAAGCTATGGGTTCGGTGGCATGTTTAGAACTCATAAACTTCAAATCCTGGCTCTGCCTCTGCGTGCTTCTCGACTATTTTCTGGGTATCTGTTACCTCCCACCAGTACAGGTACCTTCTAAGCTTAGGTAAATGGGAAAAATCACCTAGTATTTTATTGAGTCTTGTTCTTGAAGTAACTTTGGAGAATGATGCTTTTCTTAATCAATTATGAACGAGTTTGTTGAACTAAGAATTTGGGGTGTTAATGGAGCAAACAAAGGTTTTTTTTCCTGTAGCGTGGGTGCTATTCATCTTTTTTTTTTTGGGTATAATATTGGCCTGAGATGAGCTTTTATGGAATAACATGGTCAGTGAGGCTTCATATAACCGACCCAACTTGTTTGGGACTGAGGCGTAGTTATTGTTATAGCTTGGGTGCTATGCAGCAGTATTCCGCAAACCTGAAAGTTGTTTCCTAAAGCGGTGGGAATTTTAACTTCTAATAACGTGCAAAGCTGGTGTATTTTTAATTGCACCCTTTGCACGGTATTCCATTATATTGTTTGCTATTTTAGTATCACATTTTTCCTTGAGGCAAAAGTGTATACTGATTCTTAATGTGCTGCACTCAGAACATATGCTGTTTTATGCAAGTGAGAAGTATCCCGTGGAGAATAGTTACTCAAAATACATCACCCAGGTATCTTTTTTTATTTATTGGCAATTATGATTTACTTTTTCCTGAATTTCTACTCTGGTTAAACAATTTGTTCCTTCTTCCTACTGTTTATTCTTGCAATCTATCTTCTCTTCAAGACTATCGAGAAGTGATAGTTGTCTGTGTCATGATTTTTTTATGTTGGGTACAATTTTGATCGTTTTCATGGGCTCTTTTATTGAGCCTTGATGGTGATACATGGTGGTTGTTTAACTATTTGCATATGCTTCAGTCATTAATTTGCTCCACCCTGAAATTTGAGGGGAAGGTTAGAATGTTAGCATGAAATATTGTCCTGCATTAGACAAAAGTATTATGTGTTTTCTATTAACTATTTATAGGAGTTTATGGCATAAGTCAGTGGGCTAATGTGTTGCTGCAGTCTCTTCTCTTATTTTTCATATAGCAGCTGAGTCCTGATAAGAGAAGAGATTGGAAGAATGCATAGACAAGTGTGTTATGGCTAGGAGTTTAAGAGGAGATTAGACATCAAAAATGTCCTAGCTTAACTTGGACAAAGTGTCAGATTAGAGGAGATTAGATATCAAAACGTCCTAGTTTAAGAGGAGATTAGACATCAAAAATGTCCTAGCTTAACTTGGACAAAGTGTCAGATTAGAGGAGATTAGATATCAAAACGTCCTAGTTTAAGAGGAGATTAGATATAAAAGATGTCCTAGTTTAAGAGGGGATTAGATATGAAAAATGTCCTAGCTTAATTTGAAGTAGTTAGTTAGAATAGAACAAAGACGGTCTTGAAATGTTGAAATTGCTGAGTGTCTAACTAGATGTCACGAAAACCAAGCATCTCTCTGAGAGCCTATCCAAACCCTGGAGTCTTCCCTTGGATTTTCAACCAAACTTTTCACTATTTGTCTCCAATAGCCACCTTACAAACACCCTTAACGAATAAAGAAAAGCAAAAAAGAATTGTGGTCATTTATCATCTGTCCTGTCTGTCAAAGTGGGTAAGCATATCATCTTTCATGGCTGTCAACTTGGTTAAACTATTTGAGGCCTCAGGGACTTGTCGTCCTAGTAGTTAGCAACTCAGACTTTTTAAGTTAACTGCTCAAGCCGAGCGGTACGGAGCATGAGAATGGTTATCTTTTTCTTAAAATGTCACCTCTTAGTATCAGAAACTGGTATACTTATGGCAACTTACTAATAGCACTAATGAATGCAGTTTTGCATAAATTCCCTTCAGGTAACTGTCTTATAGAGTTTAATTTCCTCCTCATTTTTATTATTGATTCAGCATGGAGGTTCTACCAATGCTTTTACATCTTCCGAGAACACCAACTTTCACTTTGACATTAATGCAGATTGTTTTGAAGAAGCTTTGGACAGGTATGGATTTAACTCCTCATTATCTTTGAAAGAGTATCTATGAAATGCCTTATGGTGTTTCATTATTTAGATTTGCACAGTTTTTTGTCAAACCGTTGATGTCACCTGATGCTACAACAAGGGAAATAAAAGCTGTTGATTCTGGTTAGGCTTCATGATTTGTGAATGTTGATGTTTTCAGTCCTATAAACATTATCAACTGCTGATTGCTCTACTGTCTTTGTCTTGTGCCCATGGCAACTTGCTGAGTCATCTTCAGAGAACCAAAACAACCTATTATCTGATGGTCACAGAGTGTACCAGGTACTTATATGGACTCGTAAGTCAGTTTTATGCTTCCTTTGGTACTTGTGATGATTCAGTGAAGGAGATAGATGAAGTTCAATTGTGTGATCACATCAGTTAAAAAGATTAAACTACTAGAGAATTTTAGTTATTTACTTAGGTCTTCATGCGCCCTTTTACGTTGGGCATGATTCTATTTTTAGGGCGAAGAAATATTCTGCTAATTGATGGCGGTGAGACTTGAGTGCAGGACGTTGTACCTACTCTGATACCATATTGAATTGTGCAGTCATCATCTAAAAACTTAAGTTATTAGTGAGCGACCTTATATTGATTTACTGTTAGGTGTACAACCAATGTATAGGATTACCTGGTCCATGTTATGCTTGTATCTCTCTCTTTATCCATGAAAATCTTAGAATAAGTTATATCCTTAAGTTATTATTGAGGGACCTTGTTCCATGTTATGCTTGTTTCTCTCTTATCTTGTGGATCTTGAGCATGTACATTCGTTAAGTACCTGTTTGAGCTGTGTTGTTTAGCTCTTTCGAATTTTTATTCTTTTTCTTTTGGAGGAAAGAAAACCCTTCTTCATTCTTGCATTACTTTCTGTGCAGCTTCAGAAACATCTGACCGCTAAAGATCATCCGTACCACAAATTTGGCACAGGTTTGTGATTTGATGTATAATGTCTTCCATATGATCTGAATACATGGCTTGCAATCTAACTTTGGATAACCTTGAATCCCTGTATAGTTAACTTGCCCAGTTTGTATTGCTGCATTTTTAGCTGATTTGTTCTTTTCAGAACATCAATGCCGTAAAAAGTCTATATTATTGTACTCCTGTATTAAAGAGAAAGAGAAGTTGCTCCTTTGTATGTTGCACATTGTTTCTTTTGATATTTATAAACATTTGACTCTTGCACAGGCAGTTGGGATACTTTGGAGGTGCAGCCAAAGGCAAGAGGCTTGAATACTAGGGAGGAGCTTCTGAAATTTTATGAAGAAAATTATTCAGCCAACTTAATGCATTTAGTTGTTTATGCAAAAGGTAGCCGGTTGATTTCTCTTTTTTTCCCTATAAATTATTCTTGCGGAATATTATCTATACTAATTGTCTCTCTTAAAACATCAGACTGCCTTGATAAAGCTCAAACACTGGTGCAGAGCATATTCCAAGAAGTTCCAAATACCAATAGAAGTTACTCTCCTGTTACTGATCAGCCTTGCAAATCAGAACATCTGCAGGTGCTCAAATAGGTGTTGGGGTCATAAATTTGACACTTAAAGTGTCTGAATTGGAAAATATAAGGGCTATGTTCTACTGGATCTCTTTTCCCCATTTCATGTTGACTGGATTAAAAAAGGTGGTGTTTTTCTGGTACAAAGATTAGCGGCAGACAGGGGAAGGAAAAAAGGTTTTATGATATAGGGCCACTTGAACTTAAGATTGATATTTTTACTTTGCTTATGATTAATCACATGAAACAACCTCTCTATCCTCACAAGGTAGGGGTAAGGTCTGCGTACACACTACCCTCCTCAGATCCCACTGGTCTGGGATAATCCTGGGTATGTTGTTGTTGTTGTTGTTGTGATTAATCACATAGATTTTTGAAATTGTGAGATGTGGAATGGAGTTTTCTATACATGCATTTGCAGAAATGCAGGGTAAGGCTGCGTACAATAGACCCTTGTGGTCCGATCCTTCCCCGGACCCCGCGCATAGCGGAAGCTTAGTGCACCGGGCTGCCCTTTACCTTTAGAGAAGAGAGCTAAACTTCTGGTTGTCTCCTACCACCACTTATCATCTTTCGAGATTCAGCTTAATTTGGCTTTGGTGGACAACACATGAAAGATACTGTGAGCCCTTTTCAAGTTCTAACATCTTTGTGTCCATGTACTTGAGGTGCAATAAGGTGTCACATAAGCTTAGCAATTCACTCAAATTTTTCATAGTATATTCTGTACATGTTGACACAGCAACTCCTGTTGGATTAGCGCACTGCTCCCTTTTTTTCTTCAATTAGAAATCTTACTGATGAGGCATAAAATTATATCAAACTTTTTAGCCGTGTGTTGAAACTTTCATTTTTCTTTTTCATATGGGTTGGGGATGGCAGAAATGAGCTAATAATCAAACATTCTTCTCTCTTCTCTTGCATACTCTTCATTATTGCAAACACATTGTTGTCCTATGCCTATGATTCTTTATTTTTGTTACGCAGATTCTAGTCAGAGCTGTTCCAATAAAACAAGGTCATAGGTTGAGGATTGTGTGGCCAATAATTCCAGGGGTAATTTATTACAAGGAAGGGCCTTCAATCTATTTGAGTCACTTGATTGGACATGAAGGAGAAGGATCCTTGTTTTATATCTTGAAGAAGTTGGGTGAGTTCTCAACATAATTATTAAAAATTCGGATCCTATCCCACCAGCCACTCGTTATGTGGCACTTATGGAACCCTTGAGTTCAGTTGCAAAGATATGCAAAAATAGTTAAGACATATCAGTACGCCATTTACTAGCAAATCATGTAAGGAGACAACAGCCCATTCCCTTAATTATTGTGGACAATCTAATATTCTCCCCCACACACCGAGGAGCGGACATCTAGAGTGTCGATAATAACATTGGGGCTCAACACTGAGTATACTTAGAATAGGGATAAGTCTAGATTTCATACTATGATAAGAAAATGAACCTTGGAAGTAACTCAGTCTAAGGTCAGCTTATAAGGTGAGGAGTGCCTAATATTATACAAGGAGACAACAACTCATTCCCTATACCAATGTGGCATAATCTAACACCCCCTCCGGCACGCCCAGGGCCGGAACATAACATGGGTCCAACATTGGGTAAACCAAGAATTGGGATGGGTCTGACTCTGATATTGTGTTAAGAAAATGGATCTAGGCCTAGCTCAATCTCAAAAGCTGGCCCATGAGGTGAGGATTTCCCAAGACCACATAAGGAGACAACAACTCATTCCATCAACCAATGTGGGACAATCTAACACGGACTAATATTTATTTTTCAACTGCTAGAGAAATCTGCTGCTGAGGAAACGGGGTCAAGGTGATAGACTACCATGGTACATAGATTACCCGGAAGAAAGAAGCATAGATTTGTTTAAATTTCTTACATTTATTTATGGATGGAAAAGCAACAATGATGAAGATATATCTGAATTAGTTATTTAGGCCAATGATTTTATCTCACTTGCTTTTGCATTACATGTTTTCTGGGGTCTGTATATATATCAAGCATTACTTACTGTTTGCGTAGACTGTTTCTAAGAAATTATTGCTATTTATCTCTGCAAATCCTTGTAGGTTGGGCAACAAGCTTATCGGCTGGAGAGTCAAGTGGCGGTCGTCACTTCTCATTTTTTGAAGTTTATATTCATCTGACTGATGCTGGGCATGGTTAGTTCTCTCATCTCTCCACACCCCCCCACCCCCCACCCCATTTGTGGACAGGAAATTAGAAGGTAATGTGTTGTTCTTGCCCTCCATTTTCTCTATTTTCTCATTTGTTTCTCGAATTCATCTTCTCTTGGGAACCTTACTACACTGACCTTCGTGTCTCAATAATATTTCAGATCATTTTGAGGATGTTGTGGCACTACTTTTCAAATATATTGACCTTCTACGGCAAGCTGGTGCCTGTAAATGGATATTTGATGAGGTTGTTGCACTTAATTTTGTATCAAACACCAAAGTGATTATTGTTGTTTAGAGGAGCTTAATATACCTTTAAGGCTAGAGGAAGATTTATTGATAGATATATAAAACATACAGAGCAAACTGAATTTTCGCAGTGATACTTTTATGGATAATTTGCCATAAAAGACAAATTATTTAGTATTGAAATGGAATGGTTCCGACTAAAGTGGAGGGCATTCAAAGGATTCATATAGTTGTCCCCAACTAGTTTGAAATTGAGATATAGTTCAATGATTGGGTGGAAAATTTTCATTTTTGCGTAAAAGTAGTGCTCATCATTTTATTTAAAGCTTTAAATTTTTGTTTCATGAATTCCCTTCAGTAAAGACTAGATGTTCGTTCTTTTGTCAAGTTTCTAGCTCACATATACTCTAAACATGCAGCTTTCTGCTATGTCTGAGACTGATTTCCATTATCAAGACAAGAATTCTGCCATTGACTATGTTGTAGATGTTGCATCGAATATGCAGGTACATTGACAATCATATTTCCGCATTTGGGTTCATTTATATGGATGCTTTTGAAGTGCTCATTGATTCTTTTTATATTGTTTATTTTTATTCATGAAAATGATATTTTATTGACAGAAATGGTCCCATAATACTAGAAGTATACACCAAAATAGTTCTAACAGTGGAGATTATTTTACAAAGTCCCACCATATTATCTGTACAAGTAGGGACGTTGTGTACGCTCTAAAGTTTTCTTTTTCACTTTTTTTTTTCTAAATAGTAGTGTCTTTTGCAATTGGCTAATGATTGTATCCTCGCCTTTGAAACTTTCAA